CCGCACTCTTTTAGTGCTTCAGTTCAAACATTAAGAAAGGTTGATTCCATTTCTAAATGGTATTGAAAAAATAGTTTTAAATTTCATCAAAATTGATAGAGATTCAAAATAAGTTGTGATGGTTTAATAGAAAAAGTGCTATATTGAGAAAAATACATTATGGCAGCACCTTTTTAGTCAGTACTCCTTGGGATGTTATTCACTTTTTGTCTAAAAGAAATGACTGCATAAAACTAAGGTTTCCGAATAGATTATGCAAGAACAATTCTGTTGGTTGGACTAGTCTTCATTTTCCATAAGATTCCTTTTGACTAACCTTTGGGGAAAGTGTTTTGAATATGGATCATTTCAAATTATTTTGGTTCTCTTGTCTCCACTTTCAAACCTTTTGTGGTATGTTGCTAAATTTCTGTGTGATCTGTAACCAGATGTGTTCTGCTTGGTGTGAGCTGTGGTGCAAACATAGCAGATTATGTGGCTCGGAAAGCAGTAGAAGCTGGCAGGCTTCTGGACCCTGTGAAGGTTGTAGCACAGGTTCTAATGTACCCATTTTTCATCGGAAGTGTCCCGACACATTCTGAGATAAAGTTGGCAAACTCCTATTTCTATGACAAGGCTATGTGCATGCTCGCATGGAAGCTCTTTCTGCCCGAAGAAGAATTCAATCTTGACCACCCAGCTGCAAACCCCCTTGTTCCGGGGAGGGGACCGCCTTTGAAGCTCATGCCCCCAACATTGACAGTTGTTGCAGAGCATGACTGGATGAGAGATCGGGCCATTGCCTATTCGGAGGAGCTTCGGAAGGTTAATGTTGATTCCCCTGTTCTTGAGTACAAGGATGCAGTTCATGAATTTGCAACCCTTGACATGCTTCTGAAGACACCTCAGGCCCAGGCCTGCGCCGAGGATATTGCAATTTGGGTTAAGAAATACATCTCAATTCGAGGTCATGAGTTTTCATATTAGCTCGGAGGTGCAAAATCTGAAAGGAAAACAAAAGGGAAATTAAAAATATGTGGCAAGAGCCTTGTACCTAGGGAGACAACAGCACTTGGCCACTGCCAGTACATGGGGTTTGAATATATTAAATCTATTGTTCATGGCAATCCCAGTTTTCATATTTCCCCCATGTCATATATTGTTCTTTTTGTAAGATAGAGAACTTTCTGAGTTAGAGTTAGTGATCTATGAGATGAATTTGCCTCTTGCTTGAGTGATGTTGGTTATATTGGGGCATTCCCAATATTATTTTTTCCTGTGTATTAAAATGTATAATTTTCTAATGCATAGAGTTTAATTCAATCTTTATCTCACTCTCTCTTATACTAATTTTTGTGCATTTAGATTCGCATATAGCAGGTTACATTGAAAACTCTCATTTCAGAAGCTCGAGTTCGATGGAACTGGCAACTTATTCCACTTGAATCGATTTGAACTTTAGATCATTGATTTATAATTTGGTATGTATACAATCCTAAAGATTATAGTCACCCACAATAGAATAGACATTGTATATGCTGCCCAACTAGATTGGTCATCGTGGGCGACTTCTCTTTAATTGTTTTCGTAATTTAATGTGTATATATAATCTGTATGTTAGGGGCTTTCATACTTTAACTTGTTTAATTATAGTACAGATTTAACCTAATCTGTATGTTAGGGATTTTTTCCCCTTTCTTGCATTTGGAAACATCAATTCTTCTCCAGATCCCATGCTTAGTTGTCACAATTTTTCATGTGATCTCTGTCTTCTTTTTTTTTTTTTTTTTGTTGCCTTGGGCAACTCAAAATGAGAACAGACAAAATTGATTTCAGCATTTAGTGAACATCTAGGCCAGAGCATTATATATATGTCTATGCAATCTTCACCTCAAAATTTTCTTAGTGAACTAGGTTTTGCCCTATGCTTCTCTTATTAGGACAGCTTTATCTTTTCCTCCTTGTAATCTTCCGGGCTGGATTGGAACATTGCCATGTATAAATCTTGTGATCTTCTTTAGGTTTCAAAAATGGGGCATCAAAATCATATTTTGGAAAAAAAATTTGCCTCACCGGCTTCCTCCAGCGTGATTAGGAACTAATCCGTAATGTTTACTTCCGTTGACATGTTACTCGTTCGTCAAATTCGCCTATATAGGTTTGAACTAGTTTGGTACTAAATTATGTCGGGACCATTGAGCTCTGTTAATGTACTACATGTCTATCCTGAGTCGATTTATATTTATATGTATATTCGATAATGTTTATGATTTACTTCATTCTCAATTCGAGATAGTAAAAAAATGATATGATCGGAAGAACTATAAGAGGAGGTTATAGGTGAAGGTTGAGATGAGCAAAAATTGAAAGTGAAGAAATGAGAAATCAGCTGATGATGCCTCAATATTGGAAGCATTTGAGGGATACAGAGTTGTATTATTTTGAACTTTGACTATTTCATAACGTTATTATTTTTTTTTATCTTTATATTTATTTAATAGTGGGTAGAATATTTTTGATTATATATCAATAAAATATATTTAAATTAGTTAATTTTATTTATAAAATCAGATTAAATTTAAATTTAAATTTAAATTGATATAATTATTAAACAATGATCATTAAAATTTTAAATTATAGCAATTTATTATGTGTAATTTTCTATTAACAAAATTAGGTTATTAACTTATTAAAAATATTTTGATTAATTTATTTCTAGAATAAATTGTGATTAAATTTTCATTTAAATTGAGAGTATGTATTAATTTTGCTGCTTAATTTATAATATAATTCGAAATTATAACACAAAATTAACGTATAAAATAAATTGAAATTATAAAATTAACAACAATTATTAGTGAATGCTCAGACACTTAGTTGCGTCATGCGTTCGTAAAAATTGGATTAAATTTTATCCCTGGGAAATAGTTATTATGACGTCACAAGGTGATCAATTACATTTTATTAATAATGATTAGAATAAGTTTAATTATTTCTCATTTAATTAATAGATTAAGATTAATTAGTTAAAGTAATTAATTTTCTATAAACAGAATACAGTTCATCATTTATGGTAATTATCTGGACCCGACCCGCTTCATTTAGATTTCCATTCTTTTCACGTGGCCTCTTTGTGTTAGCTTCACAAACGCAGAGTTTGGAGCTCAACTCACTGTAAATTCGATCCCCTCTGGTTCCGGCGTGTTCAACGGGAAATTTTCCGGCGCGTTTCCGATCCAGTGCAGTGCTTTGTAGAGCAATCGGAATCATTTACTTGGTTTTCTCTTTTTAGTAAGTATGCAGATTACCAAATTTGTTTGTTTAATGCTTTTTTTTTTTTTTTTAACTTTTGATTATTAATGATACTATATACACTCTTCAGTTTTAGCTGCCATTTGTTCTTTGAATGGAAAGATTTTAGCTGCCATCTGGCGTTATATTTGCTTAAATCAGGCCTGGAAAGTAAATCTAAGTTTATCAAAGTTTCCTTTTCTGAAGAGATCTAAAGCGCACATTTGGACCGTTTTGGTATCTGAGCTGCGGTTTTGTTATTTCCGCTTTAATGAGCTTTCTTTCGGATAAAAAATTCCTTTCTCTAACTTGAACTTCTTAATTGCAGTTGCTTGGAGCTGATTTTCGCTTAATGTTGTATTTATTGTAATAATTTGGTGCAGTGAATGCTAAAGCACCCGCTAAATATTCTGGATTATAGTTAATATTTGGCGCTTTTGTAAATACGAGATTATATGCACATATTAGTATATGTCTGCATGCATATGTATTTTATGTAAAATGGGGAGTAGTGAATATTTTTGAAAATGCGATTCTTTCCAGATAGATAGAGATGCTTTGAGCTTAATAATTTAGTAAAATGAAAGCTCAAGCATGCACTATATACATAAATACTTATATATATTGTGTATATATTTATAAATGGAACCTTGAGTTGTAATTTTGTTTATAATTTGAGTTTTGTAGGTAGAAGGGTTGCTTTGAGCTTAGTCATTCAATGAAATGAAAACTCAAGCATAAACTAATATTTTTGTATCTGAAATACAGGTAATGTATGCGTAAAAGGGACTGCAATAATTTGATTTTTGTAAATAAATTAGGCATCATTTTGATATTAATCATTGGCTAATTCGTGGTTTTTGAAGGGCTGTACTTATGGTGGATATGCAAAAGTGAAATGGCACATAGAGAAGTTGCCTTGATGTTGCAAGGCAGCAAAGCCAAATTGAGGATGGTGATTGTTGTCATCATAAGTTTATGCATTGGCATTGCAGCTTTATATGGCCTTTTAAAGCCTGTTTCCAATGGTTGTATTATGACATACATGTATCCAACGTACATCCCAATTTCCTCAATGGGAAGTGCAAAATATGCATTGTATTTGTATCATGAAGGCTGGAAGAAGATTGATTATAAGGAGCACCTCAAGAAGCTGAATGGAGTTCCAGTGCTCTTTATCCCAGGCAATGGTGGTAGCTACAAACAGGCAGGGTCTTCGTGTTCTTGATTGGCAAAATTTTACACATTTTTTGAGTTCTATTACTTATCTTTCTCATAAAAGATTTAACATTTCCATGCTCTGCATATGTTATATATGTTAATTGAGTTTGAAGTTGGAAGTGGTAGCCATGATAAACTGTCTTGTTTTTTGATTTGCTGCAAAATTTCTACACCTATGATCTGTGTGCATGCTTAAGTGTGTAAATCAATATTTGATTGTGAATTTATGGATTCACTGAGATAAGTTTACCATCTCATATATATTTTATTTTTCTGTATTGATTTTGAAAGAAAAAAGAGAGGTTCCTATCTCTTTCCCCTGGAAATAAAAGAGAATGGGTTATAGTGTAAGTATTGAGCTAATGTTTCAAAAACAAATGTGAGCATTGAGCTAGGAGATAGGTTAAAGGCTCGATGTTTGACTGTTAGTAAGGAACACATCCTGTCAACCATTCAGTTGTGCATCTTTATGATTAGCTGTAAAATATATGTAGTCAGATGGTTTACTGATGCAACTTGAGTATTTGCATGGGTAGTTGGTTTGATTCAAATTGTTTAGGTTGGTCATGCATAGATGGCTTTTAGTATCAGACATGTGGGCACCTTGCAAGACGATTCGGCAATCATGGATTTGTTTGAGGTTTCTCCCTTATCTGAAAGAAAAAGGATTGTGTTTTACAAATGCCCATCTAAAATCTTTTATCCTGTGTTATTTCGAAAGAAAAAAAATCTTTTATCCTGTGATCATTTAGTAACCACACATTTCGACAGTCAAGTTGTTCCCAGAATTGAATTTAAATCATGCGGAAGATGCTTGAGTTTTACTTTTGTTTGTGTTGGCTGGTTTAGTGAATGTTAACTGGAGTTTGTCCAGATGGTGAAATGTGTTCTAGTTCTGATAGGAGTCGGTTTTGCTAAAAAAATTGTGCTTGTTTAACCCTTTCCTTTTTCCAAATTCTTCTTGAGAATGTCTATATTATTAAGGTGGTGGAGGAACTGCCATTTAAACTAATCTAATGCCATCAAACTCATAACTACTTATTACAATACATATATACAATGAAGAAAACATGGGAATCTCTCTCAGAACAAAAAGACCCTATTTGATGATTATATAGAGGAGAGAGTAGGTTCTATATTATATGATGGAAGCTTATACTACACCTGATTATATATTAAGTTATCTCAGCTTCCGATTTGTGCATTTCATAGACTGCATTTTTTGTTCCCTTTTCCTTCTTATAGGTTAGGTCCTTGGCAGCTGAATCTGATCGGGCATACCAAGGGGGTCCACTTGAGCGTACGTTTTACCAAGAAGCTTTCCTCACTACTGAAGAGGGAGGGGCAGATATGGATTTGGCTTGCTTTCAATTGCCCAGCCAGTATAATTACAGGCTAGATTGGTTTGCTGTGGATCTTGAAGGTGAACACTCTGCTATGGATGGTCGGATACTTGAAGAACACACAGAATATGTTGTATATGCCATTCACAGGGTATTGCTGATTGTTAATTTGCTTTATTGTGTTTAAATGTCATTTTGGGGTAACAATCTCAGTCATAGTCCAATGGAGATGTCTATTGTATATATAAATTTTTTTTATATCATACCCTTTATTCAATAAATATTCAGTCCCATGAAACAACAAGAAATACTCTATCCAAAATTTCTGACAGTACAGATACATTTACTCCTCACCAACATAAAAATGCATTCTTTTTTTCTGGATTTATACTGGAATTAAATCTTATAATAAAGATTATGTACATCATTTTAGGTTTGGGCCTCTCACTTGTGAATACCCAAATGCTTGAGCTTAGGCCTGAACTTCGCAAAGGCTATCTCAACTTGTTGGAATTGGCTTCAGAATCCCTATGATTTGTTGCTAAGCAATGGTTTTCTATCCTGATTGTCATGTTTCCTTCCACAATCTAGCATGCTTTACTTTAATAAATCACTCTTCTTTTTCTCTCTGTTGGTTATTTTACTTGAAATCAGAAAGGAACAAGCGAAAAAAGAAAAAGTCTAGTTTCATTGCCAATGGAGTTACTCTTTTTTGGTAGATAATCATGCTGCCGAATCTAGTATTCTCCACATAGTGCTTCTGTACGCTTTGCTCTGTCATCTATGCTTAGATACTTTTGTTTCAATCTATTAATTTCTGCATTTAGTTATTTTGCGACCATACTTGTAGATTTTGGATCAGTACAAGGAATCTCATGATGCACGAGAAAGAGAAGGTGCTGCAGTGTCTGGGAACTTACCCAAAAGTGTGATATTGGTTGGTCATTCAATGGGTGGCTTTGTTGCGAGAGCTGCTGCCAGCCACCCTTCTTTAAGAAAGTCTGCTGTTGAAACTATTCTTACACTCTCAACGCCACATCAGTGAGCTTTTTCTATCCTTTGATATCTTACTTCCTACTTTCTTGTATCAACTAGATTTTCATGATGACTGAAATGTCATCCAGATCACCTCCAGTGGCATTGCAGCCATCATTGGGTCATTACTTTACACAAATAAATGAGGAATGGAGAGAGGGATATCAGGTCCAAACCACTCAGGCAGGACGTTTTGTGTCTGATCCACCACTCTCTCATATAGTTGTTATCTCCATTTCGGGTGGTTATTATGATTATCAGGTACTTACCGTTTCGTAATTATTCTGTTGTTTATGCTGTATCCAAAATATCATTTGCTTGTATTTACTTGTGTAGAATTCTTTTCATTTCCTAGATTAAATAATTTCATGCTATAGATAAGACTTATCTTGCCTCTGTAGATAATATGGTTGGCAATTCAACTTTGTTCATATGACATGTCCCGAAGTAGCATATATTGGATGGTAGTATGAGGATCTGGATCCTAATTCTGCCTCAAATAATTGGATTCATGCATTCTCTATTTCCCCCAAATTCTGCCCAGAAGGTTCCTTCAAAAACACATGCTAAAAGAACTGTTTGATGTATTGACGTGGTATTTTCGTGAGAAGAAGGGAAGAAGCAGAAGATAAGAGACAGAAGGTGAGGTAATGAAGAAGAGAAGAAATGGCAGAGAGAAGGAGGGAGGAGGAGAACAACAAAGAGATATTCAAGTTAATGAAACTCAATACAGCTATATTATTCAATCTGTTATGCGATTACAAGATAATTGAGCCTCTCATAGCTTCTATATTTCTTCCTAATTCTAACAATCACAACATCCTTCCTGGGGAATCCTATTATAAGATGCTATATCCTATATGCTTTAATTTTCTTACTCTATATCAGTAGATACTTTACAATATGACTTGGTGAAGCTTGCCAATTACGTTGTTTCAATCCAGTTCTCCACATTTTATTTACATTCCAAGTCATATGAAAGACCTTGGTAACTGAAATTGATTTTACTCATCTGTTACCACCTGGCTATTTGCTTGAGGTTCTTTAGTAAGAATGCTTGGCACCCTCTTACTCTTACTAAATGTAAAACTTTTTTTGCTATATGGCGACAGGTAAGATCAAAGTTAGAATCACTCGATGGCATTGTGCCTCCAACTCATGGCTTTATGATAAGTAGTACTGGCATGAAAAATGTGTGGCTGTCAATGGAACATCAAGCTATTTTGTGGTGCAATCAACTTGTTGTGCAAGTGAGTCGAGCTGTTCATTTAGAACCAATTCTAGAATCTGACGTAGGTGGTTCTAATGCATGTTTGTTTTAGGTGTCACACACAGTCCTCAGTTTGATAAATTCCAGAACAGGCCAGCCTTTTTCTGATACTCGAAAAAGACTTGCAATATTCACAAGGATGCTTCATAGTGGGTTACCACAGAGTTTCAATTGGAAGATGCAACCACAGTTGTTTCCTCGGTTGACTGTATCCACAGAGAATGCAAACAATGCTGCTGGTATCATCTATATTCATCCTCTTGTCTAACACCAATGAAAAATATAAAGAAAATAATCTATTTGGCTGTCAATGGTGTGAGCTTTTTCTTTGGTCAAAATGTTGAAACACGATCTTCTGGGTTTACACCATGTTATTTCCAAGAATAGCCCTAGAACTTAATTTCTCCAAAGGACTGTTTATAGAGTTTCTCATCTCCCTAGTAAGTGTTCACAAAGTTATTGATCTAGGAAATCATTTCATTTCCTTCCAACTATTAATATACAGTTGAACTTGGTTTTTTTCCCCTAAAAAATGGTTGCTTGTTAAGTTTTCTGTTGTTGAGGTTATTTAACGTTTTTCATACATATTTTGATCTGAAATTCAACCTTGAGATTGAAATGTTTAGAACATGCCTTGGGAATTAGAAAGCATGAATGAGAAGTTAGTAGAAAGCAGGTGCAGTTTTCCTGAAGTTGTTCATCATTTTGGACTTCTGGGCATATATGTATTTAGTGAGGAATTTGATCATATGCATTATAGAGCATTTAGGACGTGTTGTTCAGGGTTTATGTGAAATATAATAATGTTGTAAACTTCAGATATAGAGTCCTTGAATTTGTTCTCTTGCATGATGCCTCGAATTTCTAGTCAGTGTTGAAACATTATTTTCACTGGTTTCTAATTTATTTTCTTTTCCTGGTGACTCAATTATGTATTTGGGATTACATTTTTACAGGTTCTCAAGCATGTCCTTTATCTAATTGTCCCACTTATTGGACTGATGATGCTCTTGAGAGGGATCTGTACATTCAAACAACCACTGTCACTGTTTTAGCAATGGATGGGAGAAGGCGATGGTTGGACATTCAGAAATTGGTTAGTATTAACTTACTAGCATATGTTTTAAGGAAGTTTTTAAAAATCTTTGCAGTTATCTTTTTGTCTGTTTTTAGAATGTCTGATGCAGGCAATGCTTCGATTGATCTCAAGAGACTTCTTAAATTTGAAATTTGACTACAGGAGATTTCTAATATTTCTTTGAGATTCTTCTATTGAGCAACAAAGAAAAAAAAAACTTTGAGATTATATATATATAATCTTGGAAGGGGCTGCCTCGTTGAAAATTAACACCTGGAAAGTCCCTCCCTACCCTTCTGCACCTGCGAGAATAAGGAGGGCGGATTTGTCTTATTTTCTTATTCTATTGGTGTTTAGGTTTCCTTTTATCCTTTTTTCATGAAGTCACTAGGTCTTCAATCCTTATATTCACAGGGGTCAAATGGAAAAAGCCACTTCATATTTGTGACAAACCTTGCTCCATGTTCTGGAGTTAGACTTCATCTATGGCCTGAAAAGGGGAAATCAACATCAGATTTGCCTGCTTCTAGAAGAGTTCTAGAGGTGACATCAAAGATGGTTCTAATTCCTTCCGGGCCAGCACCTAGGCAGGTACCAAGCTTTGTATTTTTATGGTGCTCTTGAGCGGAATATCTATATTTAAATCATGATATTTATTGGTTCTCCCTCATCTAAACTTGAAGTGGATTTATTTTCTTGCCTTCATGTGAAATTTTTCATGCTGTGCAAAGAAGTTTGAAGTTTATTTTGTAATAAAGGTCGGTCATGCTGACTGATTTTCTAAATATTGCACATGACGAGATGCCTTTTTTTTTAGATTGAACCCGGGAGTCAGACTGAGCAGGCACCTCCATCTGCTGTATTAATGTTGGGTCCTGATGATATGCATGGTTTCAGATTCTTGACTATCTCGGTTGCTCCTCGTCCGGTACTGTTACAATTAATTCTTGTCCATGAGATTTATTTTCCAGGAAACATTCAACCAGTTTGCATTAAAAAGGATTCCTGGAATTTTACTTGTCTCCTCTAGATTATGTTCATCTCATGCCTTCAGCTTTGTAGGCATACATCAGAAAGCATGATTCACATTTGTTTTGTTGTCTGTTGTAGCTTGTGCATTTCTTATCAGTATCTATAGTGCAGAAAAGGAAAACTAGAAATGAGTTCTTCTATTTGAGAGGATGAATACAATCCTATACTAATTTGACATCATTAATTTGCCTTTTCCAAATTTTAACATGTAAACAACATCAGATCCTTGAAGTTCGTAAACTGAATGACAACATTCATACTTAATCATCTTGTATGATAGAGTGCTTTTACTTTTTTCATGTAAAGAATTCTTTCTTCCAAGAATGCCAACGTACTATTCTGATGAATTTCTGGTTATTAGTTAATGTTTTTTTTTTCTTTGAGGTGCTGGAAATTTTAATCTTTACTTCATGTCCTGGAATTTAGTTACTTTTGCATATTTTTGGGTTTTTACCATTTGATCTATATTTCTTCATGGAGAAAGTTAATGATGACAACCGAATCTGTTCACCTTTCATCTACAGAATATAGCTTTTTTTATTTGCCTTTCTTAGTCTGTATTTTCCCAAAGCAGAAAACTGCTCTCTTGTTGGATAGGATATTTAGAAGTTTGAAATTCTTTCGAGTTGACTTTTTGGTGCTCAGACTATTTCAGGCCGACCTCCACCAGCCACTTCCATGGCAGTTGGGCAGTTCTTTAATCCAGAGGAAGGACAGAAAGAGTACTCTCCTCAGTGGATGCTTTTGTCTGCCTATTCACATAAGGTTGTTATTCCTTAAAGAGCTAATGAGCTTTCTAGTGTCCTAAATCTGAAAAGCTCAAGCTAGCTTGATGAAATTAGTTTAGATTGTTAAGATGACTGGTGTTTGATGGTGGATAACTTCAATATCATGCAGGAGATGTTTCTGAAGGAGGACCACCCCCTTGCTTTTAATCTGTCATTTGCTATTAGTCTGGGCCTCTTGCCTGTTACTCTCTCTTTGGAAACTGCAGGCTGTGGAATAAAGAAGTCTGGACTTCCAGATGAAGATGGCGAACACTTGGACAACAGTAGTAAGATTTTTTTTTAAATTTGTTCTTTAATAGTAATTTTTAAATTCCATAACTACACTATTGTTTGTCATTAAGCATTTACTATGCAAATTCTTTCACTTGACTTTCTCGTTCTGATTATGAAACTACTCTTATCCTAGGTTTAGAATAATTCTAGAGATTTTGTGGAGCTACATTTATAAATCAACACTTTATTCATGTAGAAGACTGTGAAACATTTTGCATATGGGTTGGCACCCCTTTGGTGCTGTTGTTAATCAAATTTTGCAATGTTTATTTTTTCAAAAAAAAAATTAGAAGACTGAAAATTCTTACTAAAATGAAAAAAGAAAAATTGGCCGCATTGGGTTCTACACAGAATTGGAGTAATAATTCCAAATTTCATTAAAATATAGAACTTTGTGCCAGATTTCATTAATTTTTGATGGAATTTGGATTGCATTGTTCCAATTCCATATAAAATCCATATGCCATCAAATTTTTTTAATTATACCTCTCCATGTTGAACTAAGATCTGCAAATGGTTCCCAAAAATTGTTGAATCTTTTCCAAACATAGTCTTATTATGTTTTTATGGTTTCGGCTTGACTCCTAGAAATGCTAAACGTGAAGCTTCTCTCTTGATTTTTGATTCATAGTCTAACAGATATAAGCTCTATTTTTTTTCTCTTTTCCCTTTAAAACTTGTCAACCATCTGAATATTGTCTTGATATCTGGTAATGATCACTCCCATGAATTGGTTTACCTTGTTCTGCCATCCTTTTTCTTGTTTATTGTACTTTGCTTTTTTAGCTCATTGTTTTCCTAATTAAGCTTCAAGGGTACAGTTGTACAATTTAAATTCATTGACTTTTCTGTACAGATGGGGGCAGAAATTCATGTTCTGATAAGTACTATGCCTCCTCTGAACTCAGAGCATGAAAAGTACTGGCATGTCTAATTACCTTTTCTC